ATCAAATCAGACCAGTTGCATTCCAAGTACTCAACAGCTGTAAGTGGTTAGCTTTAGACACAGAAAGCCTTAGACTACTCTTTTGCTTGAATCAATATGATCAGAACCCTAATGTCATTTTGCCTGGGGTTGAAAATAACTGTCTTTTTTGAGTTATTTATCCAGAGAGGGATGGCTTTGTGTCAAGTCATCTAATTATTCTACCTCTTTGTGAGCCCACTCTGGCAGGGCATCATTACAGGCCCATTCTAAGGCAATGATCTGCTCAGTGGTGGCTTGCTTACTTGGAACGGATTCTCTGACCTGCGTTTTACAGAGAGAGCCTGTACTGGACACAGCTAACCAGCCCAGCACATGGACATTGTTCAGTGGAAGGGAAAACAGACAAGTTTGAGTTATGTGAAAAGACCATATTAGTAGTTTTAAAAGAATATGGAAATCAATAAAGGGGGTGGCCATTTAAGAAGCTAGGGAAAGAAGATAATGTAAGTACTGAAAACAGACTTAAAACTTTTAGCCGTGGCCGATGAGCTAAGGAACTGTTTTGATATTTCACATTACTCATGTCCACAGAGTGGTCATTATTTCTCTTCTTAGTGAGACCTGAGTTGTCCCATTTATAGACACATTGAAGGCACATATGGTAGAATCTCAGTCAAGGTCCCTAAACACATGACTATGTTTATGGAAAAAAAATTAATAATCTAAAGAAGGAGAAAGAAAAGGAGAGACCAAGATTTCCTAGTGCAAAGATTTCCTAATGCAAAGAGTAAGAGATGAGATGAGTGAAGATGAATGTGCTGTGCACTTTTCGGGGAGAACGTAAGTTTAGGGAAGGAAAAATGCTGTAAAATGGGAAAATATTAGACATTGATAGTATATAGCAAATTATCATAGTATGCCTCCTTACCAGATGCTCATACCGTGGTAAGTATATGTTCCAAAGTGAAATGAGAAATTAAGATGCATGACATTTGAGTTTCTGGAAAGAATAATAACAAATAAATGAACAAACAAAATAGAAGTAGACTTATAGATACAAAGAACAGACTGGTGGTTGCCAGAGGTAAGGGGGGTTGGAGAGGCTAGGTAAAAAAGGTGAAGGAATTAAGTACAAATTGGTAGCTTAAAAAAATAATCATGAGGATGTAATGTACAGCATAGGGAATATAGTCAATAATATTTTAACAACTATGTATGGTGCCTGGTGGGTACTGGACATATCAGAGGAGCTGCTTTGTAACATATATGATTGTCCAATCACTATGCAGAAATTAATACAAAACAATATTATATGTACTGTGGTCAAAAAATAAAAATTTAGAAAGAATAATAAAAGAAAGCTGTATGGCGAAAATATCCCAAACAATCACATCTAACAAATGGTCACTTTCAAAGTTTAGTTATCACACACATTTATTTTCCTTATTAATTTGGAATGTTATTCTGCAGATGAATCAGATCTTTATAATCTCAAGTCCCTATTTTTGATTTCCTTGCTTATGTAAGAGTTACTCACCCAAAATCTGTTTTACTGTTGGGTTATGAACTCCTCGATTATTTGTTGTTGATGCTTTCTTTGGATTATGAGAATCCAGGAGTCATGATGTAATGTTGCTATGGTAATGAATATGTACAAAGAGATGATTAAGGGTGGGGAGAAGGTTAAATCTTGATACACACTAGCATGTAAATTTCTTTCCAGTGAAATAAAAAAGTCCCAAATGTAAATGTTTTCTTTTGATGTATAAAAAATATGAAAGATGTTATATCACATCTTGAACCACACCTTTCTATTGCTTATTTAAATAATGGAAGTTAGTCAATATACTCAAAAGAGTATTTTCCTAATAATGTTTCATTAAAAAATATATTGGATTAAGATTGAATTAATTTCTAGTATTTATGAGTTAATGTATAAATAAATTATACCTTTTAAGTAAAAATTGGGACATATCATAAGGATGAAGGTTTTTTTGGTTGCTATAAAGGTGGCCTTAAAGACTCGAGAATATAGAAATATTTATAATTGCTCAAGATGTACTTTTTCTTCCAGGCTTCTGTAATATTGATGTTGGAGAACATGATGCACAAGAGAACACAGGGAAATGGTATTTGAAGACCTAGTTTAAAATACTCCTACAAATTAATAACTTAGATTTTTTACATATTAACCTTTTTTGTTGTTGTGTCACAGAACTTTGCACCAAGAATTCAGAAGACCTTTGTTGGCTGGCCATGTTGACTGGCAAGCACTCAACGATTCTTTTGGTTTTTTATATTGTGCTTAAGACAAAGCTCTTTGCTATCTGATGAGGATTCATTAGACCTGCACTGTCCAATGGAGATATTTTAAAATGATCTACTAGCCATATTAAAAAGTAAAAAGGAATAGGTGAAATCAATTTCAGTAATATACATTATTACTCAATATGTCCACAATGTTATTATTTAACATGTAAAATATATAAATTATTAATGATATATTTTACATTCTTATTGTGTATTAAGTTTTTAAATTCCAACTTGTATTTTATACTCACAGCACATGTCAGATTGAACTAACACAGTTCTAGTGCTCACTATCACATGAGGCTACTGAAGACCATACCATGTGGATACCACAGCGGACAATGCACTATTAGACTAAGAGGAAAACATTGAGTTTGTTAGAATATTAAAGTTTTTCAACATCAGAATTCTCAGGATAATAACCTTGCTTTCTTGGAAAATGAGAGCTTTCCAACTTGCAGGGATGTTACTATTTTCAAGAGACAAAATACACACGTGGGACGTAAATACCTGACATTAGTGTTTATTAATACCTAATGGTTTAGCAGTGTGGTCACATTCACCGCCCTTTTTAACAGCAGTCACGGGTCTGAGAAATAGAGGATGGGAGATGACAGTTCTGTTTGAGGAAGCAGGCCCATAGAGGACACCACATCTTACTCTTTCAGCTCCGAATCTCTCCATCCAATAGTAGATTGCAATCTAGGGTACAGTTACCAAATAATGAGCAAGCCAAGTCAGCTAAATAATGTGGCCTAGCAATTTGTTGCCTTTTTTTTTTTTTTTTTAAAGCATCTGTTTTGTGGGTGTCTGGAAGGGCTCAGGCTTGCCCCACATCTCTCTCTCTCTCTATCTCTCTCTCTCTCTTGTTGTTTACTTGGATCCAGAATAAAATGAGAACAAAGTCTTTTTATGCTTGGAAATGCTTTGATTCATCCAAGGTGGTGGTGGTGGTGGTGGGGTTGTGTGTGAAATCCTCAGGACTGTTACCATCATGAATCAAAGTCCACCAAACATTGCACCCTTGATACTTCAGTGGTTGAAAGGTAAAGTCAATTGTATATATCATTCCTTTATAGGTCCTTCACAGACCTCAGAAAGAACACTTGGTGTCATTTAGAGCTGAACTAGGTGAAGAAGCAAGTAATCTCTTACTCTAAATTAATTCATTTATATGACAATCACTTTTAAAGGTGCCCCATAACAGTAGAAATAACACCAGTTTTGGGTTCTTGGCTTGTCGTTTAGGTTAAAACAATAGCATTCAGGTCAATATACCTATAGGCTACATACATGGATTGAATGTAGGCTAATTTCTATTAATTGGTAACATTGCCTTTGTATTTTCAATCACAACCCACATGGGAAGCACACCCATTATATAATATGCTCCAGGGATTTAAACAATTCTCAAACAAGTTTCTAATATATTATATTATTTTATTTTATTATTATTTTTTATTTATTTTTGTTACAGATGTTTCTTCTTTTTCCCACTGATTCCCCCCTCCCGTTCCTTCCCCATCCTTTCCCCACCTTTGTTGTCCATGTCCATGTTCACACATACATGCATATAAGTTCTGTGGTTTATCTCCCCTCCCCCCCGCCCTCTTCAGGGGATTGTCAGTCTGTACCCCACTTCCACCTCTCTGGGACTACCCCATTCCTCAGACTGTTATGTTCATTATATTCCACAAATAAGTGAGATCATGTGATATTTGTCTTTCTCAGCTTGGCTTGTTTCGCTTAGGATAATACTTTCCAGGTCCCTCCATGTCATCTCAAAGGATAAGAGATCTTTCTTTCTTACAGCTGCATAGTGCTCCATTGTGTATATGTACCACAGCTTTTTTATCCATTTGTCTACTGATGGACATTTGGGCTGTTTCCAGATCTTAGCTATTGCAAATAGTGCTGCTATGAACATGGGGGTACATATAATATATATATATATATATATATATATATACTGTAATATATTATTTTAAATCGTTCTTCATCTTCCCTTAATCCTATGTATGATCTCACCCAACCCTAATTTTTCAATTGCTAAAATTGTAGTTGCCCGAAATATCTTCCATAGGTCGGGCCCTCGACTTCATCGACCTGGCGCAAGTAGTCTTGGTTGAGTCGCCATTTCATAGAGGGGAAGGTCGCAGGAAATCATCCCATAAGAGAAGTTTGTGAAACCAAAGCAAAGAGTAGCCAATGCAGGCAAGCAATTATTTCCGGTGCTGAACAGAGAGGGCGCCCTTCCACAGACCCGCGCACAGCCGGGACGCGGTGGTGGGACGAGCCCCGCAGGGATACACTGGGGTGTCTCACGCCTCAGTCTAGTGGGAGAACCTGCAGGGCACTGGACTACCAACAAATGTCAAGAGACCTGGGTGGGTGGATTTTCTTAGGGAACTGCAGAGCGGACCACCAGGCTTGCAGTAGGGCTTGTTCCATTAAGTCTTAGTAGGTAGGGCTTTCCCTTGCGTCCCGTCTCCCACCTGCCATCTTGGGGGCTCCGAGCCACCCCACCCCTTTTCCTCCCCGAAGCTCTGGGCGATTTCACTGCCTCGCCATCGGGCCGCCTTTGCCAGCCTGCCCGACAGTGCCAGGCCCCAGGCGGTTACGAGGGCGCAGGAGGCGGAGGCGCGGCGGGGGCGGGCTCTGTCACCCTCCCCACACCCCCTGCTCCCCTCTAGCGGGTCGCTGGGGTCAGTGGCAGAAGCGGCGCGCACCGCCAGCCACCAGGGGCGTGGGATGGGGGTGGCGGAGGAGGGGGGCACCCTTAGTGATTAGAGCCAACCGCGCACTTCAAAAGGCTGTGGGGCTGTGCTTCCCTTCTGCGCCCCGGGAACTTCAAAGCGGCGGGCTCTGTCCTGGCCGCCTCGCTGCACTCTGGGGCCTCGCAGCCCCGGCGCGGCCGCCGGTGGCCATGGCCCGAGCGCTGGGCGCTGCGCTTCGCCAGGCTCTCCTGCTGCTCGCCGCGGCCGCCGCGCTCTCTGCAGGTAGGGTGGGCGCTGCTTCCCCGCGCTCACGCGTGGGAGTCGGGGGCGGTCTGCAGGTGGGCGCGAGGGTCGAAGAAGGTGCTCCGAGCAAACTGACCTTCAGCGGGGAGGAATAGGAAGCACCTGTTGGATTGAAGGGGCGCTGGATAGGGCGCCGCGTGGGCACCCGACACCTGGCAGTCATAGGGCAGACAGGTGTGTTAAGGGTAGAGTCACCAGGAGGAGGGAAAAGGCGATAGGGACTGGGGGATTTGGGTAGTAGGGTAAGGTGGGTGACAGATTTGAGAGCAGTTTGCAGCAGAGGGAGAGAGTGCGTTTCTGGGAGTGCGCAGGACTGGCAGTTGGGTGGCACCATGAGTTCACTCTGCAAGTGCCTCAGGGACACTGTGCTGAGTTCTGCAAGCTGCGCAAGGTGGGGGGAAGGGTGGGGAGAGGGGGTCGCGATTCAGTCCGAGTTTGAGGGGGCCAGGGATACCTCAAAAGCCACTGGTGCCAAGCTTTGTAGGCGGGAGTGGGAGCTTAAATCTGCGTGGTTTGCGACACACTTTGCTTTCGAGGTATGATCTTTACTAAGCGTTGCAGAAAAATAATTCTGGCAAGAGTCCCAGCGTTTATAGCAGGTCTGTTTCTTAATAGGCTAAATAGAACCCTCGGCCCAAGCTAAAAACCAAGCATTTCTTTATAATGTTTACTAGAAACTGGGGCAAATACATCTTTGGTAAAATCACAGTGTGCTGAGATGCAAAACCCATTTAATTCAGAAACTGTTTTGATTATAACATTATCCTGGGTTATGGAGACCGGGATCAGGATCCTTACTAACTCATTCTTGAAACATTTCAGTCAGGTATTTGAGACATTGCACATAAAAACCTGGTGTATTTCGATAGAACTGCACTTGGCCTGAAGCTGATGTTGATGCATTTTTGTTTTCCTCAATGACAATGTGTTTGATGTTAATAGCAATTCTCCAGGGTGGGTAGTTTTCCTCTTATTGACATGTGCAAGAGAATGTTTTGAATAGTACCATTGGTGCATGTACAGATTTCAGTGTTTCAGATGGTCCAAGAGAACCACTAAATACAATTAGGAAAACAGTTACCCAGAGGTGTCAGGAAAATAATGAGATAAAGTGAAATATTTGCATTCAGAGTTAGCAAATTCAGCAATGGGAAGAAAACTTACTATGGGAGTTTTTATAAGAAAAGGGTGAAAACTCTGCTAACTTGGAAGGAATACTCAAAGTACTCTTGACTGATGATAGAATTTACAAAAAATAAAAAATACAAGGTCTTCCAGGTATTTTGACTAGACACCTGTGAAATTGCCTCCACAGGCTGTCCATACAATGCTACTTATTTTGGGGAGCTAATAACTTAGCTGTAGAGATTTTTTAAAAGATTCAATTATCTTTTTATATAGTTTGAAAGGTATGTTTTATTATATGACAGAATCTTTTAGAAAATTTTAGAGACCCTGGGTCTAGCGACATAATAAAACAAGCCCTGCTGTATTCTTAAAGAGGAATGGAAACTTTTGACATTGATATGTGCAAAAAAGAAAAACAAAATAGACTATCCATTCAAATTTGATTGTTTCCTCAAAATTTGAATGCTAGGAAAAATGTCTGATCTGGAGATAATATGTCAATATAGTAGAGAAGTACTTACCAAATGTGAACTTTTACAATGAGCTTTAGAATGTCACATAAATCATTTTCAAATCTCTTTAAGAAACTTTACCCTTCTTTGTATCCCACAGGGGGAAAAAAAAAGTCTGTTGCTCCTTGCATTTTTGATTCCTAGTATTTGTACAAATCTTTTATTATTTGGTAGGGGGAGTCAAAGTAGTTTATTTATTTAATCTTCTAAGTTGTTTTTCTCATGTGATTACTCACATTATTTTTGACCTGGTCACTTTTACAAATTACATTGTTAATGGTATTGACCATTTTTGAAATTGCATATACCATTGTTGACATATTATATGAGAAGTTGCTATTGACATGATGACATAGCAAAACTGCATGACAGAAAACACCACCTTCCAATTTGTCTCTGTTGAGCACCAAGCCTAGAACCTTAAGTACTAGAACCTTAAGTATCTGAAGACAGTGATTAACCAATAAACACTTTTTGCTTTGGCTGTTCTTTCCAGCAGCTCTATCATCTTGGAAACTATTAATATTGTACGTTAACATCATAATAGAAGCTATTGCCTCTTGATGAGCATCTCAGAGTGTAATCACTGATGGGAATTTAGAGAAAATATTTATTGGTCTGGACTGGCTCAAAAACCAGGCTGCTCTGAGTTACTCTAATTATCTAGTTACTGAGTTTCTTGATGTTGGATAAGAAAGACCTAAGGTGACCTCCCAACAGTTATCATGTGTAGTAAACAAATAATTGGCAGAAAATGTCTCAAATTATAAGTTGTGATTTGGACATTATATAGACTTACACATTCTACACTTATTTGATGAAACTCTTTGGTCTTCTTGTTGGGAAAGGATTACTAAGCGTCTGAAAGTGAACACTGTTTCATTAACCAGGGTGGGGGCTGGGGTTTCAGATAGTGAAGTTCCCCCTGCCCTCCCAACAACGGTTGGCACTTCTCACTACACATTTTAAACTTTGCTGGGAAGTGAAAGTGAAAGCCTTGGATTGACTGAGTTTATAAATGCAAAAGGTGTTGTCACCTTTGCCCTTCTTTAAGCACAATCATTTGTTGGTTGATTGACACAAATGTGGCAAGAGGCTCCCTGTTTCCAAGGAACAAACTTTTCTAGCCCAGAGGAAACTCTGTGCAGAAGTCCTTGGGGGTATATTTCTTCATTGACTATAATGCTTCAACTCATTTTCTAGCCTCAAGCATACAAAGTATAAAGTAGAGAGTCCCCTCATTCACTACAACCATAGAAAAAGAAAGGATCTGAGGTACGAAAGAAAGAGAGGAGCAAAGGGTAGCACCAAATTTTTGAGCCAACCAATGTAAGAATAGACCCTTAGGTGGATGAGGCTGACTGAGGGGGGAGTGGGTCTGGAGGGAAGGAGGGAGCAGTGACAGATAGCTGAAGCTGTTTTGCTTATGGTGAGTTTAAAATGCCTACTGGACACTGGAGTGGCGATATCAAATAAGCAGTTGGTTTTATGCGCCTGGAATTTAGGGTATAAGACGAGTCTGAAGGTAAAAAATATAGAGTCAAGGGCACTTATAGATAATTTTTAAAGACACATTAAATAGGGTCACAGATTTAGCAATCACAGAACACCCAGTTAAATTGAATTTCAGATAAACAACAAATAATTTTTTAGTCTAAGTATGTTCCAAATATGACATGGGACATACATATATTAAAAAATTAATTGCTGTTTAATTCTACTCTAATTGGCATTCTGTATTTTTATCTGGCAATCCAACATTAAAACATATTGTGGTGAGATGACCAGCTTCTGATACATGTATTCCCAGCTCTTGCATCAGAAAGAGAAATATAGACCTATTTTCTAGTCCTCGTCTCTTAAAATTTCTGTTCTGCCTCTGCTGCTATTTCCATGTGCATCTCTGAATGGATCAGTGCCAGCTCTTTGCACTCTCTCCACTGCTACTGAGTAAAGAGGGAGGGATAACCAGCCTTTCCTAACCTTACATGAGTATCTTAGCAGGAATGGATGAATGAAAAAGGTAAGAATAATTCCCTAGATTCCCTGCAAACGATTGTTAATGAAAGTAGTTCGTTTTGCCCAAATTTATTGTATTTTGAACATGATTGTTATTTTCAAATGCATTTTTAGACTATTTTCCTTTGAATAAACATTTACATGTTTCTCTTATATTCAGTAGCTGAGATCCAGTTTGTTGACTCTAGATAGTGCTTGCATTGCTTATTGTAAATAAAAGAAGGTTAAGAGGAGAAGCGAATGGATAGAGTCAGAGTTAGGGAGGGCTTGAGCTCCACAAGACCTGATAATCTGATAGAGTTTGAAGTTTTAGAACATGTTCCTAGGAGACTGATGACAAGTTTTTTGGAAGAGGGGCAGAAATATGTAACTATCAGCCAGAGGCTGTGTAGTTCCTGCTCTAGCTAAGTCTTGAGCTGCTCCCAAATGACCAGTATTGGCTTCATTTTGATATTTTTAAGGGAAAGTGCTCTATAAATGAATAATTACAGGTATAGGTCATCAAAAATTTCAAGCAGATATGTTCAAATGTATATAAAGGGTTTCTTTTAATCAATAATAAAATAGTTAATTTTCAAGTATAAACAGAAAAAAGACTAAACAGGAAAAAAAGGAAAAATTCTAAGTGCAAAGAGTATACCATATACATCCTTATCACTTATATTTGTGAGGCTTATTCTAGATTTTCCATTGCTTTGGCCTTCTATATCTTAAAATTTTCCCAGCTGATAGTGAAAATCTCAAGGTTTATTCTTAGATTGCTATGAAACTGGGATAATATTAGGATATGTTCATCAGTGATATAGGAATGGTACTTTCACTAAGGGACCTAAGAATACTTAAATGCTGCCTTGGCTCAGCTGTACCTCACCTCTAGTCTAAGATGGGTTACTAAGGGATACCTAGAAAAGGGAGGCAAAATAAGGCAAAGTAATTTTTTTTTTTCTTACTTGGTACTTTGGCTCCAAAATTGCATGGCAGAACTCTAATATATTAACCTTTTCTAAACTTTTAATAATTAAATAGCCTCAGGCTAAAGAAAGGAGGTGTGTGATAAATCAGAATCCTGGATCCTGACACGATGATACTATCAAAAGGCAAAATGAAGCCAGAGTGCCAGAGCAGGGGACCTCTATCTCCAATACCTCCCCTCAGTCCATGGCACCTCTGACCAGAGTTCTGGGTGATAATCTCAAGGGTCACTGTTAAGTGAGGAAAGGATGGTGAGTCTGTGAAGAAAGGTGGTGGGGTCTCTTCTGTGAGGAGGCAGGTCCTGTTATTCCCACACTTTCTATGAAAAGGTGAAGAAGGGACCATGAT